GGGATGGTGTCAGGGGACGGGAGAGGGTCGGGCGCGGGATGGGGGATGTGGAACGAGAGATGGAGAATGGGGAGGTGACGGGATGGACTGACAGCGGAGCCGCGGTCGGGCTCGTCGGTCTTGATCCCGCAAAAGGGTTGGCCGCAGCAACGGGGCTCGTCGGCCTTGATCCCGAGGGAGGTGCGAACTCAACTGGGACTGGACTAGTTGGTCGTGAGCCCAGCTGTGGCGCCGTTCCGTCCACCCTATACCTCGGCAGGGCTCGTTCCCCCACGCCCACGGGCGTCATGGGTCTCGAGGGGATTGCTGTTGGCGCGAGGAGGCTCGTCGTTGATGTCGGCGTCGCGAAGGGTGACGGCTGTGGCGCCAGGCGGGATGCAACAGGAGTGGTGGTGGCGGTGTCGGGGATGATGAGTGCCGGCGGGGATGGACGGCGGGATGGACGACGCGTCGGCTGGAGAGAGAGTCTTAGAACGGTAGATGGGTCGCAGGCCAAGAAACATACCTTCTCCACACTGATGATAACACCACCATCCATCGCGGCGTCTAACGCCTCTTTATCCCTCGCCCTCCTTCTTAGTATGTGCGCGAGATACAACCCGCCCAGTATCAAACTAAGCAGGATTGGGAGGAGGATGTACAGCGGGCTCGGCAGGCCTCCACCACCTCCTCCCCCGGAACTAGCCGCTGCTGCTCCCGTTGTCGTCGTTATAGCCGTCTCAGATGACTGCAGCATAGTTGTCGACATGAAGGAGGAGGTCGTCGAAGACACGCTGACTGTAAGCGTCCTTGAAAATGCAGAGGAAGTGGTGGCCGTGGTCGTGGCGTGCACATGCGTCGATGTTATATCGGTCGATATTGTCTTCCGGGTAGTTCGCGACATCGACGCCGTCGTCCGCCTCGTCTCTGACGCTGTCGTGCTGGTCGTCTCCGCCTGCGTGCTCGATGCCGATGCCGCGCTCTGAATCGTGACGAACCGCGTCTCCGTCAAAGTCAGCGTCGTTGTGAGGACGTCCATTGTGGCGGGGACGGCGGTAGTGACGGTGGTCGTGGACGCCAGCTTGAGGGCAGGCTATGATGGAGGGCTGACGCGCGATGCGATGATGGGGGAGTGGAAGCAAGTTTGAGACGGGTTTGAGGGCGGCGAGGGCGGATAGGGCGGAAAGCGAGACATGCCGTCGCATCCCTTCGACCCTGCCCGGCTTTACTGTTGCTTATCCACCTTTCATATGCTTTCTGCTATTTCCTGTGTATATCAGCTACAGTTATGGCAACTACCGCCATCCCATTTATCCTGAAGTCCGGTTCTCCTCGACTTCGTTGCTCAGCCCTTAGATTGGAGTAGATTTGAAATGGCAGCGTTACTGTTGCGAACTCCAGAAGCGCTGTAGTTGTCTTATGGACTCTTTTCACAGCGTGGTGTTTCTGAGCTTCGAACTTATCCTACATCGCTTTGATGTTGTAGTCGACTTTTTCAAAGCTCTTCCGACCATTGAAGCCACAACCCGTAGTGGGCGGATGAGGGGGAGGTCAAGCCGGCACAAGGACAACACCGAGGAAGTTGGTAAATCTGACCGTTGACTCAGCGGCCTGTCCCGAGCTGGACAACGTAATTAAGGTGCTGTCGATGATGCTACTTATCAAATGTTCAATGATGTGGCGCTCTTGCGCAAGAGATAGCCAGTGGTCAACACATCAACGAGAGCCAAAAGAAAATATGAGATCAAAATTCCATTGTAATCAAAAAATAGGGATCGTCGATTATGTTTTTCTACGCATGCTAATTGAGCTAAGATAATATAAAATTCCAAGGGAAATCTACTTGTATGATAAGGCAAAAAGACTGTTGCCAAAAAAGAGAAAGGGTTCTCGTGGGTAACACCAATACCCTCCATACATGATATCCTCCCTCATAAAGGGAGTCCCGCTCCCGTACCAGCACATCGGCGGCTGTCTGCCCTACGGCTACGGCTGCCTCTTACTTTTACACCTCCCTGTCATCCCTACAATCATCACCCTCCTCCGCATGCCCTCGCTCTTCCTCCTCCTCATCCAGAGTCCCCTCCGTCCTCACCGTGTAAACGGTATATCTGGTCCCCACTGAATAAAGGCTCCCATACTTCCTTCTCCGCTCCTCCTCACGCCCTCTCCTCCCCATCGATCCCTTCCCTTCATCGCCGCCGACGGCGTAGAGGTCAAGGACGTCGGATTCGGAAGTGGAGAGGACTGTCAGGCGCGGGTTAGCCGGGGCGGGGGCGACGAAAGCAGCAGCGGAAAAAGGGGACGAGGAAAGGGGCGAAGTGGAGGGCAGGGATGTCGGGGGGTGTGGGAGGGGTGTGGCCTGACGCGGGGACGTTGTTAAGTAGGCGGGGAGGAATGGTTGGCTTGGCGTGGGCGTGGGGCTCATCGTGGGAGTCGGTGTGGGCGTCGGGCTCGCGGTCGCAAACAGCTCCCGGCTCTCTATCTCACGGGGCTTGCGCGAGTGCGCGAACGGGCTCGGCGCCTCAGCGTCCAATTTCCTGCGGCGACGTAACGACTGGGCGCGGAACACCAGCAGCGCGAGCAGCGCCACCAGGACCCCGGATGTGAGGGTCAGGAGGGCGATCAAGGCCGGCTGGGAAATTGCCGGTCCTGCGCTGGTGACGGCTTGATCCGTCGCGGTCGTCGTTGCGGCTCCCGTCGTTGATGCGCTCGCGATTGCGTCCGATGTCAGGGATGGGAACGATCCTGTCTGGGAGGCGATCACCGGAGCGGCGGTGACGAACAGCGTCCGAGTCGCCGTCGTCTGGCTCGTGGATCGAAGGGAACTGCTCGTAATCGTGTTAGAGCTGGTGCTCGAGGTGGGAGCCGTCGTCGGCGTGGACGCGGGCGGCAGTGACACCGTGACGGTCACCGTAACTGGTGGTGGTGGCGGCGGCTGGGACGGCGATGAGGTTGATGTTGGGGGCGGGGACGCCTGTGACGTTGAGGACATGGTCGATGTAGTCGACGTGGACGAAGTTGATGAGGCTATTGTGAGGAGTTGATCAAGTAGCAGAGAGAGGCTGGATGGGGACGATGACGGGATGTGACGTTGTTGAGCGCGATGATGCGGTGAGGTGACGGAAGAGGCAGAGCTAATGCAAAATTGACGTCGTTGAAACTCAGTACTCTGGAGATACACAAGACTGTGAGACGGAGATGAGGCGGGCGCCACCAGGGGCCACCGCCGATGGAGCACGATGGTGGGGTCTCGCAGGGCCAACGTGATGCCCGTAGATCTGCACACGTCCCTCGCTTATGTAAATCCCTTGCACGTAAGGACAGCGGGTCTCGTCTGTGCAAAGTTCGAACAAGAAGCAGGGAGCTGGAGCGCTTGCCAGCGGACCGTTTAGGCTCATCGGGCCCTTTCTTTCGATATTACCAGAAGGTTACGAGAAGGATGGACACGCACGTGAGCAATGAAGAACCTGCAGAAATATTATCCGTCTCTGTTTATCGCGTGATGTTCACACGATGGTTCATCACGTTCTGGCTTGTGTGGGAACCTTCACACTTTTATGCTTTACAAAAATGGATTTGCAAGAGCTGCATCCACTGCTATTCTTTGTTTTAATCCGGAAAAAAGTTCCACTGAAACTGTCACGACATATGGAAAACAATACCCAGCAAGCCAGAAACTAGGGACCAGGAACGCAGCAGCAACAAGCAAAATTCCGCGTCGGGGAATCGAACCCCGGCCACCGCTGAACGCTCGAAGCTGAGAGAGCGGGATCATAACCACTAGACTAACGCGGATTGATGCCATTCTCGCCAATTTTGTCGTACTTAATGTCGTCATGCACAAGGTACAAAAGCTCATCTCAACTCTCAACAAGTGCAACGACATACTGCTATGACGAAGTTATTCTAGAGTAGGACTAAGATAGCTGTAAATGTATGCAATACCTATGCCTCCGCACTGTCATCTTGTCACATCTTGCCTACTGCTTGATACCCACGCTGGCCTTAAATTGTGGCTGGACAGTGATGACCGTTCAAGGCCATGTTGCTGCAGTGCACTAGTTGAAAAGGTCAACATCATATTTCTCTATTTCTCTAAATATTGTAATGGTACCTTGAGATGACAGTTTTCCCTTCACATATGGTGCGAAGAAGCAGTCATCGGTGTATCCATAAAAATAGCCTGCATATAGTCTATTTTGCTAATTACTGGCGACCAGCGCCTATACTACTTAATGCCAAGATATTGCTACCAGCCTACATCCAATAAAGATACAAAGTCGAAGAATGAATTATGTGTACAACCAAATTCGAGAGAGAAAGAAGAGAGGTGACCTCCCCACTACGTTCTACAATAACTCCCTTGACATCTATCCCCCTCCCCCTTCCAGTCGCCTTATCGTAAGTCGCCTTTTTCATTCTCTAATTCTGTAATGCCTGGCTGCTCTCTCCTCCTCCCCCTACACCCTCGTCCGCCATGCCTCCTCAGCGCGTCGCTCCTCGGGAACACCTTTCCACAGTCTTTGCACCCGAACCTGCCCTTCCCCGATCCGCCTTCCGCGTCCCCTGCCCCACTCCCCAATCCATGGACGCTCCGTCGATGCCTGGCGAGATCATGCCGTCTCCTGAACCTCGTCCCGCACCCGGTAACATCGCACAGATGGTCGGCGGCGGCATGGCACCGCATGTGCGACCGGAGGGCATGAGGCGTGAGGAGGAGGCGCGGGCAGGTTGGATGGGGGCAAGGGATTGTTGAGGCGGCGGCGGTTGGCGACGGGAATACAAGCGTGGAAGGAAGGTGCCGAGTTGAGGAGGGGCGGGATAGAGAAGCCGAGCGCGGGGGTGACTCTAACGAGAGTGAAGGAGATGGAGGAGGCGTCGCGACGGGGACGGGGCACGGGTTCAGGAGGGCCGCGATGGCGATCTTGGATTGGGTCGCGGTCGCAGGCGTGGAGGGAGAAGGCGTCCGCAGCATCGTGTTCCACGCGGGGGGCATCTCGGATCGGGAAGAAGGGGATGCAAAGGGTGGCGACAAGGGCGGGGATGGACCGCGGTCTTGCGAGTGGAGGAGGTGCGCGATGGCGTTCATCGTCGGAGGAGGATGCAGCGCGTGGCCGGACGAGGGGTGTGGGCGCCTCTTTATCGCAGCCTCTTCCAACTGCTCCGCTCACCAAGCCCGTGTCTCGGCACGCCCTGTCAGTTAACATCCAGCAGCAAACGCCATGGACAGCGTCAGGGGTCGCGCCTCTGCACTCGTCGGAGGTGAGAAACGCGTCCCTGACCTCCTGAACATCCTGCGTATCACTCCATTGGCTGGTTGGGGCTGCGATTGGTTCGTGGGGGATAAGAGGTCTATTTGGTGAGTCGGATTGGCCCAGAAGGCTTCACGGTGGGAGCGGCTAGTTGCGTGAAAAATGTGGGACGACAGTTGGTCGCCTCATTCGTCTTAGCCGCCCACGACATGGCCATCGGCACCAACCCATTGAAAGGCAGTCTGAGAACCGAGCGTCGTTGGTCGCGTGGAAGGGGCCGTTGCCATGACCGAGCCTCCGCAAGGGCCAACCAGTGGGTCTGTCCTGCGGCGTGACGTCCCTTGGCATTACGGGCCATCCTCCGCGTTGCCATGACCGCGCTTCGTCGCGTGTTCCGATGGTCTGGGATCTAACGAATTTGTAAAGCAAGGCGCCACTGACGGTGATGAAGAGCATGGCAGAGCAAACAGGCAAAATGCGGTCATGTCCTCGTCGGAAGTTTGACTCCATCGGCGTTCCAAATCTTCCACTTCCACAACAGAAGCCCATAGCTAGACCCAGAAGGCCACTTTGGCGGCAGCGGGACAGTGACGGGACATGGGCCCTATATCGCGGCAATGTTAGCTACCATGTCGAAGTCGAACTTCCTCGCGGCCGACGCTATCGCCGTCGGAGTTGCCATGCACGCAGAAACCAAGTAATAGGACATCAAGAATATTCTGTTTATTGGTTGGCTCTATAGAAACGGAGAGAATTGCAAAGGAGCCATGCAAGTGTTGAGTGAGGGGAAGAAACTCGAGATGTACCAGCTTGAACCAAAGAAAATGTAACATTGTAAAGAAAAGAGAACGACATCATATATCAAAAAGAAGTAAAAACAGAAACGGCACAGCACAGCTAAGAAGCGTGAACAGTTTCTAACCCGAGAAAACGCCAACGACGGCCTTAAGCTTGACCATCATATCGCCGGTGCTCAGCAGCGTAACGGGCTTGGCGGGCTTGGTCCACCCCTCCTCGATGGGGAGCCTCTCCTCCAGGAAGAAGGGCTTGATGTACTTGATTGGTACGTTGCCGTCCGCGTCGCCGAGCACCTGGATGAAGAGCGCGGCCTCGGACCACGCGAAGCCCTCCTGCCCCAAGCCGAACTTGAACTCCGGGTTGGTGGCCTTGGAGTCGTTGTAGCGGGCGACGCGGTAGTGGGCCACGTCCGCGATGGTCAAGACCTTGCCGTCGGTCGATGCCGCGATGAGTTGATCAATGAGCCACTCGTTCGGGTGGTGGTTGTCGCCGAAGAAGTTGTCGAGGCGCGTGAGGGATGCGTCGTGCTCGATGATCTTTGGAGGGGAACAACAAACACAACGTTAGGTCAATGAACTCCCGGTCTGCAATTCGTAAACAAAACACTCACATCGTGGTGCGACAAGTCGCTGATGTCGATGATCGCAGTCCCGTTAGGGAGCTTCTCATCCGGCCTCAGCATACCCAAGGGCGCGAACAGGCTCTTGATGTGGAAAGCCGGGCTCGCCAGCAAGCCGACGAAGCTCCTGTCGACGTTGAGGATCTGCGACAGGGAGTCCTGGACGACCTCCTGCGTGATGTTTGCGCCGTTGCGGGGGAAGTAGCCGTGGTTGGCCGCGATGTTCCACGCGGGGCAGGGGCCGCGGAGGTCGGAGTCGGAGGCGGGCTGGAAGGCGCCAACGGCCGGGGCATCGCGACGGCGGAGGGCGTGGCCGGGGAAGGCGGAGGCCGAGGAGGCGAGGAGGACGGTCGCGAGGGTGATGGGGAGCATGGTAGTGGGATATGGGTTGGATGATCGGGGTGGTGTGTGGAAGACGCGACACGGCCGTTTATTATAGGTGCTTGATTTTGGTGTGCCAGATCAGTTGAGTAAAGGTGAAAAAAAGTAAGGAAAAGCAGCGCGGCACCACGACGGCAGCATGACAGCATGTCACGGATGTATGACGGGGATGTTACTTTCGCGCATTCCGCGCATTTCGCGCAGTGAATTTTTTTGCGTTTGCTCCTCCTACAGGGAGGGTTTCATGCTCATCCTGCTCCTTGCGCCCCGAACCTCCATCACCACCACCCCCTCAACACCCCTGCCGACGAGCTGATGACGTCCGGCCGCGTACGTTCCGAAGCGGCGGCCTGAGCCGGATCGCTAAAATTCACATTGCAGGCTGGTCCAAGACGTAGACACACTCGCCGCTGAACCTGGTGAAGAAGTGACGTGCGTTCAATTTTGCCCTCATCCAGACACATTCCAGACACATTTTCAGCCCTTGATTTCATTTTTATCATCTTTGCGCAAAGCCTACAAACAACTCGTCATCCGGCCGTGGACCGTGGTTACCTACTTCATATAAGAAGGGCTCCCGGCCGGCTTCCGGTCCCGCACCTTGTTCACCTGCTCGACACCTGCTCCTACATCATTATGGTCGCTGTCCACATCATCGCAGCGAGGGCCTTGGAGCTCCCGTGGATCCCCGTATGGAGATGGTGGCAGATGGGCTTCGTGGGCGCTGTCGGCTTCCTCGCATTGGATCGCACTCATCTGTAAGCATTTTGCAATCTACGTTGAACGGGGAACCGTCTTGACTGGAAGAATTCTCGCGTTATCCTGATTTACCACTCTTACTCGCAAACATTTCCGTGCTAACCCTCCATCCCGATCAGCCTCGCCCACAACCTCTTTGACACGACCACCAATGCCGAGTATATTGCCATGGGCAAGTCCTGCGAGGGCGTGCAGACCCAGTACCGACAAATCGACGGCACCTGCACCGACCTGCAGAACCCGGCCATGGGTTCTTTGGGCATGAGGTTCGGGAGGAATGTGCCGCTCGCGGCGACCTTCACGCCCAGCGACGAGACGATCTTGAGCCCGAACCCGAGGGTCGTTGCGGAGGCTCTTTTGCACCGGAAAAACGGCTTCATCCCCGCGACGACCATTAACATGTTGGCTGGTGTGTATTCTTACCTTCGTTACTTACGGGGTTGAAGTGCTAACTCATTTTTCGCATCAGCTGCCCACATCCAGTTCAACACCCACGACTGGTTTACACACGGCACCACTACCGACAACTCAAAGCCCTTCATGGTCCCCATCCCCGAGGGGGACCCGCTTTGGGCCAACCAGACCGTTATGCCCGTCGGCCGTACCTTGAAGGACACCACCCGCTCGCCTTCCGACCCGCGCCCGGCCACCTACACGAACTACGGTACTCACTGGTGGGACCTCCACCAGATTTACGGGACCACGGCCGAGGTTCAGAACCAGGTCCGCTCCCACACCGGCGGAAAGCTGAACGTCGACGCCGCCACGGGTCTCCTCCCCCTCGGCCCCAACGGCATCGAGATCACCGGCTTCAACGATAACTGGTGGACGGGCCTCTCGATCATGCACAACCTGTGGGTCCGCGAGCACAACCATATCTGCGAGATGCTCGCCATCAACAACCCGACCTGGGACGACGAGCACATCTTCCAGGTGGCCCGCCTCATCAACTCCGCGCTCCAGGCCAAGATCCACACCGTTGAGTG